ATAACTGAGGTTTTTGGGGGAGTGCAAGAGTCTTCATACAGGTGACCTGTTCAATAATCCACAGAGTGGAAGAGGTGGCAGGTGTACCCACTGGAGTACATTTGACAGGTTCATTTAGTAGATCAGCCTGTTAAAATAATCTTTAAATAATGGTTTATTGTTTATAAACGTGATAACAATATTATCAGGAATTTTTTCACTGTATTATTTTATAAAAATGAAGGATAGCTTGTTTAACATTTATACATATACGAAGCAAACTTTACACATTGTAGATGATGCGAGAGACAAGCTGAATACCAAGGATACTTGGTAAACATCTACAAGTTCAGCTTTATGTTGGATAAAGTAACTAATAATATAGAATAACAAGCTGTGCAATAACGGCAGTCTAACATCTCAATACCTGCACAGGCATGCGTTTACACATTTGTGGAAAGAAAGAAAGAGCTGCTCATATATACATAATTGTAACTTTAGGTTTTCAGTTGCTTCCACAGTCCAGGAAAAGCAGACTAACATGTTATAGGTTAGTGTGTGAGTATGCACCAGATTACTATAAAACAAATCGTAACATAGTAGTACTGTATTTTCTTAGGGACAATGCCTTTACCATAACTGCACAAACTGCTGGTGCCTAACAAAAATAAAAGAAACGATAATGGACATTTCTGATGCACTTTGTAATTCTCTGATTCTGTAAGACTTTGAGACCGACCTAAAAACAGATTCAACCCCCAAATTTAAAAAACATAAGGCACGTCTATGGGAGCAATCTTTTTTTTTTTGGCATTACAACTACCAGAAGTGCTGTAAAATTCTTTCTTTACAGCAACAAAAAACTGTATATCAAAACTAACATTTTAAACCTCTATATTTTTTAAGAAAATATGTATTAAAGAAAATATTAAGGCTGAACCAGATTAAAGAATAAACTCCAGCCACACATAACCTGGTTTTGGTGGGGCATCATGAGTTATACAAAGCAAGCATTCATTTACCTCTCCGTGTCCTGACAAAAGATGGAGTACTTGTCAAGGTCCCATGTTCTGTTCTTTTGCTGCCTCTAGACCCATAATCTGATTTGGACAAAACAAGGGATCCCATCCTAACCTACCTAGGTCACCTTCTGAATAAACAGAGCTGTCAGAACAAATGTGTTCTACCTGAATCAGCATGTGCAGGCAATGGGGTAAGGAGGCTATTGGGGCTTCAGTAGCAGTTGATCTCCTGTAAGGGACCACAGAGATTAGGAAAACTTGCTGTGTTGCAACATGATGAAACAGTTGAACCAAACACTGGATTTTCACCAGAGGTGGTTGGAATGACTCTTTAATAGTTCAGTATTGAATATTTTTTTTCCAGATTGTGGAAACTTCTACAAATGAATTACAGACAGCTTTACAGCTGATCCAGACAGGTGGCAAAATTAAGTTAACTCGCTGGGTTACCTTGTTGAACATTTAAAACATTTTGAACATTCTAACATTAGGTCTAATTCCATAGATTACTCAGGCTAGGGGAGTAAAGCCAGCCATAGATGGAGAGTCTTTCTTTCCTGCAAACACACCAAGGGAACACAGTGATTGCTGCAAGCGGCTATGTTAGCCGCTAGCAATAATCGCATGTAAAATCCGACAGGTTGGCTCATACATAGTTCGAATCTCAGCTGGTCCCAGCTGAACTGGCTGAGATTCGAACCACCTATGGCCGGCTTAAAGTCTTCAAACGCATACCAGTGAGCTTGCACTCTATTGGTATTCCAATTTGGGGTCATGCATCCAGTGGCCTGCACTGTAGCACAAATGTCAGCGTAGTCTTCAGTAAAAAAGAATGGAGACTCGGCTGAGGCTTAAACCCACAATACAGAGCTGCTTCCAGTCATATCAACAAACATGCTGGCTTCAAGTCATGTGACCAAAAACCAAAAAAGGGCTGCATAATCTGCTTTTACATCTCTCATGTAACTGCCATACATCTTTGCCCCTCCCTAGCTAGCCTCCAAATAGCTGGGAAATCTTTTAAAGAGGACTTAACGTTAAAGTTTAGGTCTTCTCTGCTGTAAGAAAGAATATCTCAACACTTTCTGTAGCCACAAAGTAACAACATGCAGGATAAAGCCAAATCCACCAAAAGACAAAAATGAAAACCAAGTCCCTAACAACCAAATAAGCATATCCTGCAGAAAAGGTACAAAAATATATTTTTTTTTTTTTTTCTTTTTTTTCTTTTTTTTTTTTTTTTCCTCTTTGAATATCTTACGTTTGTTTACTCTTTCATATCAGGTTATGCTCTGTATGATCAATAACATTAACAAAAATATTGGCAAAGTATTAGAATTTCTAAAGCTCTCCTTTTTCTCTCAAGTTCAATATATTTGGGTGCATATTACAATAGCAAAAATATAGATATTTATATATATATTTTCTTTTACAACATATAGGCCTACAACATGTCTCTGGCTAGGGAAAATATCAGATTCTGGAAGTTTATCTATATGAATGAAATGTAGCAGCACCACCTACCCTCCAAATATCTGAAAAAATCTAAAGCTAAATACAAAAAAAAAAAACAAAACAAAAAAAAAAAACACACAACTACATATATGAAGTCTATATTTATCTACAGGGGAAATTTAGTCACGTTACTGTAGACAGCAGACTGTGAATAAACCCTCAGAGTTTACATACAGACTCAGAATATTGGACCACTACAAAAACAAAAAAAAGTTCACAGTTTTTATTATAACCCCTACTAATCCCAAAATTCTGCTGACCTAAACTTTTAAATATATATATATGTTTTTTTTAAATGTTTACATTCATTACAGTATCTTTTAAGCTGTGCAAATCTTTACTTTGACTGGCAGTCCGCCACCTCAACGTGTTTTGTCTTTGGTACAAAATAAAAAAATAAAAAAAGAAAACAATCAAAGGTAATGTGCAATTTTTCTTCCTTTTCAAACTAAAAGTACCAAAGAGAAAAATAAAAATAACACAAATCAAAAAAGTGCGGCTTTTAAGTCAAGAGCCACCATTTAAGTTTTTTTTCTCTTTTGTTACCTTTTATTTTTTTTTTAACCTTTTTGTGTTTTTTTTTAATGTCTATACAATTCACAGACTCTGTGGCACATATCTACATTTTCAACATATTCCTATATACATTCGGAGAAAAAAAAGGAAGTCACAAGGATTTTTTATCATCTTAAACATGTAAGCACAACTCAATAAATATGTATCAAACTATGCAATTAAGCCCACTACACTACATTTTTTTAGATATTTTTTAACGGTTTAAAGCATACCAAAAAAGCGACTCTTAGCAGTAGAAGTATCTTCTCACTCCGCAAATTACAAGGCACAAAGATCATTTTTTTTTTTATAATCGTAGTCCCATTTCTGACAAACTATTTGCTATCACAAAGTCTGGTTTCTCTGAATCAGACAGACTGTGACTGGAGCCACTTTTGGTGACCGCGGCTTTGCTACTGTAACATAAGCACGGCACACACAGGCATAGACATACAAGCCTGGCATATAGATTCTGTATTAAAAACAGAATCCACAATTCTAACATCCCAAAAGAGTAAGTCTTCTTATCACTTATGTTTGAAGCTTATTCTGAATAATTTTGGCATTAGCTCAAAACTATGGGAACGTAAAAGAAAAAACAAAAGAAAAAAAAAAAAAAAAAAAAAAAACAACAAAAGTCTAAGACAGACGTTAAACTTACAATACGTTTTGACTATTTCTTTTGCACATTTAGGTTCAGTATTTAGAAATCTATGGCAATGATAGAGTTGTTGCTGCTTGTATGCTAATAACAAAGAATTACAAACAACCAGAAGTTGTGATAAAACAGAGCTTCATGCAACGAGTACTTGCCACTTGCAGACAAGTTTGTTTGCTTCTCTAGCCCAACAAATCTTGTTTAAAATAGAATCCTAGAAGATGACGAAATTTACATGCAAAACCTAAATGGAATTTACAGTGCAGACTGTGGAGAAGACAAGGATGACACATCAGCACTCATCGTGTATGGAGGCCATCACGCCTTTGAAGTGGGTATACGTAACCCCACTAAGCCACCAGTGGGATCTCCTTCAGAGGTTTTCTCCAGAACCTGATTAACAAACTCGGAGGTCTGGCCAGCCACTGGAGAACCTGAAAAACAAAATAAAAAAAAAACTTTTTTAAAGCAAATTACCAGCACAATTAGATTACCGATAAGCTGTCTTCCATATTATAAAATACTGAAAAGGCCTCATACCAGAACAAAAATGGGTCCAATACAAAAAAAAAAAAAATCTGACAATCACCAAACATTTGCTGCAGGTAAATCTTCTGGTACATTTGTTTTAAATGCCAGTTATTGATTTTCTACCAGTAAATATTTGGTGAAGTCACATTCACGCTTTTAAATCGCGGGCTGTCCATGTTGTCCATGACCAGGGGGAAATATCTAGCCCATCAACCAGTGCTCAGCTGTGAGTTGAACAGTTTGTTTTTCCTCCAATGGAGGAATGCAGAGAGCATAATGTCGCTGGCCCCCCTACAATTTGTAACAGGTATATATGGAGAACAAATTCTTAGCTGTAATACTTAGACCAATTATTGGCATCATTGAGGCTGGAGGAGCCCTCGGGAAGGTTAGACCCCATTTGTCTACAAACATCTACTGTACACCTAGCCACACACAAAGTATAAAGGGCTAGTGGTCCCTTCATTATTTTAAAATAAAGGTAAACTAACTAATTATCATGGCAGATACACGGTTGCGTAAACAAGTAAAAGAAAACTTCAATATATGAATTAATATAAACAGCAGGGATGACAGAGATGGCCATCCAATATTTAACATATAGGTAGCCAGTAAACAGATGGTTGGGTGTGCTGTTTATTTAAGCATACAGTCATAGTTTGCCTACTCAGTCTTTTCTCTGAAGATTATCCATCACACAGATCCATACCCAAAGTCTCTTTGATAAGAGAATCCAGTTTCTGCTCCATGCTTGATGACCATTCCTCCCATGGGATTTGTATTCGTGTCATTATCTCTTGTTTTATTGAATTGATCACAAACAGCAAATTATCTGTAGAAAAATGTAAAGTAAAAAAAAAAAAATGTTTTATTTGAAATAAAAAAAAAAATAAAAAATCTGTAAAAAAAAGTCTGATTACTGTTGTTTTTCAGCTTGCCAGGATATTCAGACAAAATGCTAAAATATATATTTTATGAGCAGACATAAATCTATGCATAGAGAAGATTTTCACCAGAAATATGAAATGCAAGCGGTTAGTTCAACATGCAGACATTTGCCAAATCCTGCCTTATCAGTTTGATATGCACTGGTCCTTTAATACAAACCCCAAATGAGTACCTTTAGTTATAAAGTAGTATACTGAATACATAAAAGATTCAAAGCATACATAATGATGCTTACTCCTATATGCAGCATACAGAATAAACCCTACAATGGACAGATTAAATTAAGCCACTTCGGTATTCCATGTGCTCCACTGTCAATGTGTGTAATGCCAAAAAGAAGTTGGAGCCACAGAGACAGGTCATGAAGCCACATATCATGTTCTTAAACTAAAGCATATCAGAATATCCAGAATCTTGCTCAACCATATAGAAACATTCCATTTCTTACCATATTCAGTATTCAGGCCCCACAGCTTCACTTTATTGGCTTCATACTGGGCTTTCTTTTTTAGCCGGCAAGCTCTGTGAAAGAAAGATAATGAGCTTATACAGAATGCATGCTAATGGAAAGATGAAACAAAGGGTAGTGTAAAAGCGAGGAATAACCAAGAAAACAGTAGAAACACACTTAGCCTATGTTCACACTATTGCGGGCTGTGCGGCCGCATTTGCTCGGGCACGGCAGCCCATTCATCTAACAGGGCTGCTGTGCCATTTCCCCATAGGAAAAAGGTGCTTGCATCTTTTTAAAAACATGGGCCGCAAGGAAACCGCATGGGCTTTTTGACTATACGGTTTCCCTACAGTTCCTACATCTGCAATTGTGCTGCGGGCTAAAATGCGTGGCGGCGCCATTCAGAATGAATGGTAGCCTCGTGCATCTCGCAAGAGCAGAGCAATCTGTCTGCAAGTGGTTGTAGGTGTGGGAACAGGTGCGATTCCTGCACCCACAACTAGCCCGCAGACTGCAGGCAGGTGTGAATCTAGCCTTAAGAGACCCTGCTGACATTTGTAAGCTATAGTATACTATATTTTTATTACTAGTGTAGAAAAGACAAGCATCATATCATATTCACCAATGGCTACTCACATGAATCAAACTAAGTATTTAGCAGAGTAAAGCTGACCCATAGATGGGGTTTTTTTTTTTTCACCCATTGGGCTGAAAAAAAAAAAAAAAAGAACAAAAACAGATTCTTTCATCCACACAAATGAGTTTGACAGAGGAAAGTAACCTCCCCAGGACATTGTTTTCTTGTGTTCTGACAGCAGGACTCTCTGCTATCAGAATACAATGATTCGTGTTTTCAGCTGCTGGACCGTCTGAATTTCAATCAGTCTATGACCAGACTGGGTGTGTCAAGCTGCCATAAAACCATTTGAATGGGACCCATGACGATTTTGATGACAGCAGTTACCATGGAGGACCAATAGGATCGTTCCTTACACAATTTTCACCCCTCCCACCCATGGTACTATTGAAGAATATTCTGGTTTTTTGACTTTCCTGTTTTGAGAAAATCTGAGAATTGGGTTCTGGCTGTCCCAGCTGTAGTCACTCGTTGCAGGTTGTTTTTGTTCTCTAGTTCTTATATATGTTTTGATCAGCATTTTCAACAGAAATGTATCTTATGCTTCCTTCCTGAAGAAGTGGGCTTTTGACCCATGAAACGAATTGAAAAAGCATTAAGCAATCAATACTCCATCGAATATGTCATTAAAGGGGATAACGTCAGACTGTCTCTATAGAATGCAGTACAATGTAATATATGTAATTTTACTATGTCCAGATGTACTTTTTGTGCCCTGATGACAGGGTATTTCAATGTTCATATGACAACTACTTATTGAAGTACAAGTAAAATTTAATGAGTTTTTTTTATAAAATCTTTGGTGTGGTACTGTTAAAGTCCTATGTAGTTTTTTTTCCCTTAGGGGCTTTTTTTTCTATAGTGTGTGGGGTGTCTCCATCTCTCTTCTTCCCATCACTACCCCCAATCCCCTTAAGCCACTATGTCACTAGCTTGTTCTTGCGCATAGTTCCTGCACAGTCAATTGCCATATTACTAAGCTTTGCAAAGAGCTCAGAGGCACGCTAGTGACCAATGTTATATTCTGCCTACAAATCAGCTTTAAAAAGCATGGCATGGAGCTTTTTTTTTCCTCTTATGTTCTACAGCAACCATAATTCTGATAATGCCTATTTATAACTAATAACAAACATACCTGGAAGCCAGCTTGTTTTTCTCTTTGCGGGATCGAGGCCTGGCAGTTACGGGAAGCTCCGATACCGGTGTTAGGTCACTGATTACTTTATTCAGTTTACGTAGCTCGCCACCAATCTGCAGAAGTTTTCTTGGATTTGGAGTCAGGTCTTCCACATCTGTCCTGCGAGACTTCTTCACAGTGTACTTGCCTGCACACAAAACAATAATGCACTTGTCACTAAAGTATAGTATGCTGCTAAATGGAATACTTTAAATTACTGCAGTGGAAACATACTCTATAGCCAAAATAATACTGCGGTCACACACTGTCCCAAGAACAAATCCAGAAATGTCTGCAGGATTATACTGGAGACGTGTGCTTTGGGAAATGGAGCACCGTCATCTTTTATGTTGCCCTTTTAGGGCTCATGAACACTATGTCGTGTATGTATGCATGCATGTTTATGTTCATTGCGCGAGTTTTACTGACCCAGAATATTAATTTATATTATATTCTAATGGCCAATATAATATAATATATTACACTCATATGCGTCTGTTTACATGTATGTATGCATGTAAATTATGCTCATAAGCTCATCTCTGAGGGTCAGTTCACGCCAATACACAGTGCAGGAAACTCGCATTCTTTGTGCGTTTTAAAAAGCACTGTGCTTGTGCTCTACAGCGAGTGTCAGCGTTAAACTAATGACACCCCAAATGAAGGCTGCTGGATCGTACAATATAGTAGTAGTGTGTGATCTGTTTGCTGTGCTTTTTGTTGCACTGCCGATCCCTTCTCTTCTCAGTTCAGCAGACTGCAGCTCACCATATCACTCTCCCTGTCCTCTAGCAGCACACAGTTAGTTTATGTTGTCGGCCTCACAGCCCTGCCCCTTTAATGCATATCATCCAGTCAGCAGGGCAGGCATCTGAAGAAATCTTATGACTGGACAATATGCATCAAAGGGGTGGGGCTGTGAGGCCAATAACATTACCAAGTTGTGTTCTGCTGGAGGACAGGGAGAGCGGTGAGCTGCAGTCTGCTGAACCGAGAGGTGAAGGGACCAGCAGTGCTGGCTCTGTTATGATCTTGTAGATAATTTTCATATGAGTATTTTTAACCTTCTATTTTCTTCTTTTCTTCTATTTGCTTGGTTAACTGGTGTAACTCCCCATTATCTCACCCATAACATTGTGCAGTAAAAACACTGCTGGTCAACTATAGCATATAAAATGTACACAGTAAAACAATATAACAAAGTTCAGGACCAAGAACACACATAATGTAATAAATATGTATGTTCAGTGCAATCCAAGTCCTAAATAGGCCACTTTCTCAAACACTTTACGACCAAACAAACAACAATAAAATGTATTTTGAAGCAGATGTGAAGAATAAAATACATTTACTTCCAAAGCAAAAAAAAAAAAAAAAAAATCAGGGTTCATTATCCAACTTGTACCTGAAATATCATAGCTGGATTTTCACTGGATTGCCCTCTTCAATGTCCTAGTCTGTTCAGTTTCTATAAATAAGGCCCAGTACGGAACATCACTAATTGCTCACTACTGCCCATTTAGTGAATAAGGAAACTGGCTAAGGTAGCAGAAAATTGTAAGTACCGTGATGCAGGCCATTCTTCTGGTACATATTACTGGGAAGCGTGTCCCTGTTCCATTCAGACGGTCTCAGCATCCCTTCCTGTTGAGAAGGCATTAATTGCTCACTATATTCCCAGAAGTACCTTCGCTTTCCCCTTTTCCTCGATGACACGGCAGTTATTCCTTTCAAATCTTCAACAGAATCATTTTCATAACCTAAAATGTTAATTTCATATTCATAAAAACTTAAAGCGAAACTTTACCCATAACAACTTGATAAAAAGGAACACATTCTTAGCAAGGAACATTCATTCCACATTTAGTAATAATACTATAAAAATTAGTTTTTGCTGTTAATTGCCTCCTGCATTGTTCCTATTCCTTCTTGCTAGAGGCTACAATTTGCTAAAGCCAAGAGCCACTGAACAGCAGTAAATCATACAGCAGAACTAAACCCATCGATTTAACAGTTTCAAAAAACAGTTACATTCCTAGAGTGCTGGGATTGCTAACTGGCAATCAAACTGTCAAACCATCAAAAAGCAGCTTCCTTGGCTGTAAAGAACAGGAGGGTTTAATTTTGTTTTAGGCTAGGTTCACATATGTGCAGATGGTGAGGCTACTGATCCGCATGAAAATCCGTGCAGCCGCACCACCAGAGGAATACGGACCCACGGGCAGGTGCCATTAGTTCTAATGGCACACCGCCTGCACTGGAAAACGCAACTGTACTGGGAACTGAAGTTCCCATGCAGGCTGCGTTTTCAGAAGAAGTGCAGAGACTTCTTATCTGTGTGTCACGGGGCACGGGAGTCCATTCAAATGAATGGGATCTTGTGTCCACACAAAAACGTGGCCCACACGGCCGCATATTTGTGAACCAGGGCTTAAAGCTGTTAGCAGATCGGCCTCTACAAAATTCGTCAGCGCCTAAAAATGGAGAGCAACTGATCATGTGCCAAGCAGGGTGAGACCATGTATTACTGGGTTTTAAACAGTATACACACTTTAATATTTTACATAGCTATACGTGCAAAAGGGGCCCGCCTGAAGTGGTCTAGCAGGTCTTAAAGTGGAGCATTAAGTTTAAAAAAAAAAAAAAAAAAAAAATGGTGAACAGGCAGGAATTGTAAGGCAGAAGATTTTAAACGCGCACCACTGGAGGGTTTCATTTTAAGGCAAGACTTTTATAATTTGCTAGTATACATACTAGCACATTATGCTCTTAACTTTCAGGGATGAATTTTTTTTTTTTTTACAGTTTACTACCACTTTCAGTAAATCCAAGAAAAAGCTTTAAATGTTCCTTTACATATCAGTCTTTTTTATACACCTTCATCTAAAAGAACATAAAATAGCATACTGCAAAATATTACTCAGCATAGACCAATGCCCTTCAAAGTTTTTCAGTGTTGAGAAAAAACTGCTGGCCTCATGCTAGCTGTCTGGCTAACATACATAATGCCAGTCTCAACAATTTGGAGCAAGCATTCAGACAATGAAACTGGAACTATTTATTTACAAAGTTATGCTAAGTGAGTAGTTTAGAAATATACTGAAGCATATATCAGTATGGCAGCCAGGAAACAAATGTTTTCAGAAAGAGGCATCGCAGTGGTAACATCTATATTTCTCTCAGCACAGGTTCCCTTTATCACTTAGAATGTGTGGCAATATTTGCCCAACAGTTGACAAAGAAAACATACCTGGCTCTGAAAAGGTATCACTGATATCATCCTTGTCATCTTCATAGTCTTCTTCTTCCTCCTCCTCCTCCTCCTCCTCCTTCTTCTTCCTCCTCTTCCTCCTCCTCCTCTTCATTCTCAGACAGCTCATGTTCACTACCAAATCCTTCATCATGTTCTTCTTCATCCAAATCAACCTCCTCATCCTCATCATTGTCCTGCTGGCTTTCGGTCTTGATGGCTGATTCGGTAAGCCCCTCTGAGATGAAAAGTGAATAGTTGTGCTCCTCTTTCTTTTGTGAGGGATCAGACACAGAAGCTGAAACAGTAACACTAGCTTCCACAATACCAATTGTGGCCACATTCTGCGGAGGACAGAAAAGTTTTTGAGTCTCTCTGAAAGGCAAAATGGCACAGCTTCGTCGGCCTATGGAGGGCTCTCCAATTGTCCTTTCCTGTTTTTTGGCTACAGCGCCACAAAAACAAGTATTTTCCTTGGCTGCATCTATGGCAACCACAGTGCTTGTGTCGGCTTGGAAGTGCTGAGCTGATCTTTACCTTAGCCTTTTTTACATAGTCCTTGCACTCTTCATGGATATTAATTTTCTCATCACAAGAAATATTAGTCTTTGCTACCATCTGGGTACTTGCTGCTGTCTTGGCAGCTTTCTGGGAGCAGTCAGGGGATGGCACTTCGACAGGGGTAGTCTTAGCTGAACAAACCGGAGCAGCCACCCTTCCTGATGCCACCTTCTTTCCTGAAAAAAATGTGGCTTTACCTCCAGGGAAGCTCTCCATGTAGCAAAGAGAGTCTACGACTGGCTGAGAGTCCTCGCTGTTTAGCTGAGCAAGAGTGGGTGTTTTACTAATAACCTCTTCATCCTGATAGGGACTTGAAAAGTCATCAAGACCAAGATAATCCACCTCTTTCGTTCCCCATATACCATAACTAGTTAGCTTGGTGTACTTGGTTAGATCCTCACAATACGTGTCCCACTGCTCCCAGCGAGATGTTAAGGGTGGACTGTTTCCAAGGATACCAGCAAATGAGTCAAATAATTCCAAGTCTTTGCAGTCCTCGAATAGCAGAAAATTATCTGCTGGGCTTTGTTGGTATCCCAGTTCTCTGTCCTGTTCAGAAGAAACAATATATTGAAAAGCATCTGTCATCCATATGGCTTTTTTTATACATTACATTTTTATTCAGAAAAGTGCCTAATGACAATCAAAAATAGAGAGTACAAATAAGGTAAAAGTTTTGTACTTTAAAGTGGAAGTAAAGGCAAATCCTATAAATATTTAAAATTATTCTGCACCCTTAAAATTATAATAAATACAAGTCCAATCCAAGTGAAATAATAAATCAAATTTCAGAAAACCTCTATAACTTCATACCAACCATGAGTGTTAAGTGAATAAAAAATAACCAAATAAATAATATATATCAAAGTAAATGGCCGGCAATGTCACTTGGTTGTGGATGGCAGCCGCCATCCTGCTATATCCAGCCCTATGTTATATTGCTATACATGCTTGTATGGGTCTGTGGACCCAATTTTAACATGTGAGTAGCTTTTTATAAATGAAAAGAATTTACTACACTATGGGAAGTCCTCAATTTCTTATGTTTGGCTGATTGGAGGGAGACTGTAAATAATCCATGCATGTGGAGATATCCAAGAGATCTGTCTGGAGATTAAATCTAATAAGAGTGCATGTGACCTATATAGCCTATAGGTCAAACATTAAGGTGACCGTGCACGCTGGAAAGTGGAGGAGCACAAGTGGTGATTAGCTTAGTAGAACGTCACCTGTGAATTTATCTTACGATTGAAGATTTTGCATAACAGACTATTTGGAAGGGTTTTATTTTGAAATCTTTATTTTGACTTTACTTTTTGCACACATACTATTCACATGATATGATTACCTGGTAATGGAGAGGTGCTCAGCCGGATGTTTACCAAGAATTAATATTTGCAATTTATGTACATTCAGATACATGCACTGTATTCGATTTATGTTTATTTAGTGTCACCATTTTTTAGTGGTGCCCAGCCAGGTGTTTACTTGAGTCATTCATTTTTTATATTATGCACTTTGGTTTAATTATATCATATATCAATATTTGTTATTACTGAGGGGGTGCTCATCTGGGCATTAATTTGAAGTATATTATTTATTTGGTTTAATTTTATTCACCTAACACTCATGGCTGGTATGATGAAGTTTTCTAAAATTTTATTTATTATTTCACTTGGATTGGATTTCTACTTATATTTTTAAGGGAACAGGCAGCATCAATTCATAGAATTGATTGGTTTGTAGGAACACATTTGGGTGCTTGCAGCAGTTTGCAATCACTTCTTAGGTGGTGGTAGAATACAAGGACACATTTTCCTTAGAAGGCAAATCCTAACCAACTCTAGATCTACTCAGCCACACTCTAAGCGTATTTGATCTAGCCCTGTGAAGAAAAAAAAAAATTGCTATACTTACCTGTTTTGCAGCCACTCTTGCCTCCAGCGACATCCTCTGTGTGCTGAAGACAGCGGACAATGGCTGGGAAGTGACATCACCCATAGACTTACTATGGGGCTTCTTTTGCTGGCTGCCTCTCCTGCAAGCTGAAGCCACCTCTGACAGCTCAATGTGGGAGCAGACTGGAGCGACTGCAGAACAGGCAAGTATAGGGATTTTTTTTTTTAAGTTGCCCTGTTGTTCCTACCATATATTGTATGTGTTGACTGTACATTCAATAATTGCCTGACTAAGCATTATCTGCCTCTAGAAGAACAGAGCCGTGAGGTTTTCATCCCCCCCCGCTTTATCTGTCTACCACCCTGATTGATACCATCAGGGCTATAGTCCTCTGGTTGACATCTCAAGATGTATATTAAAACTATCTCACACAACGTCCATGGCTTTAATTCCCCAAATAAGAGGCAGAAGGCATTTTTTGCAAATTGGGGGCTAAGATACTCCTTCTACAAGAAACTAATTTTTCTTCTACTAGCCACCCTAAATTCTTTCACAAAGCCTTGCCTCAAGCTTATTATACCTTATGCTCGGCTTAAAAAAAAAAAAAAAAAAAAAAAAAGTGTGGATATTTTTATTCACCGCTCTGTTCCTTTCAAGCTACAAGTATACAAAGATACTGACAGTAGGTCAGACTGGGAAGTGTCTAAATCGCTAATGTAACTGCCCCCTGTGAAGCACACGCCTCCTTTTTCATGTCGTTTCCCCTCACATTTGTAGGTGGCGACTTCAACCTTGTTGCCAGCCCTGGACAGAAGCAGGTCTTCTATATTAACTAAAACCTTCCCTAAATGTTTAGTCAGATTCTTATTTTGACTTCAAATTAATAGACGTCTGGAGGGCACATAATATAGGAGCCAGGGATTACACCTTATTTTCTCACCCGACAATTCAAAAGCTAGATCTAATGGTGCCGATATCATTCCATGCGCTTGGTCATACCATCATATGGTCTCTTGTACATTCCAAGCCATAGGTCTCCAAAACGTATCTTATACATGGCGAATAATGATTCCTTATTATCAGACCAAGTACATTTCAAGCCATAGGTCTCCAAAATCTACCTTATACATGGCAGCTAAACGATTCCTTATTATCAGACCCCAGCACACACGAAAGATTTGCATTTACTTTTACTTTATTGAAGTATTTCCAGGTAGGTTTTTGGGGGTTTTTTTTCCATCTGCAGTGCAGGGATGAGTTAACTTTCACAAGGTGTAAGCTGCACTGTCATTTGTCCACACCTCCCTCTCCTTTCCCATTCATGGAACAAGAATGGTCCACAGAATATGAAAAATTCTGTGAATTGGCAATGGAGAAGAGGGGTAGACAAACAACAGTGCAGCTTTAGTATATGAGAACTGCAACTCTCCTGTCTCAGTAATTCTCTCAGTATACCTTGAGTTCTAATTGGCCTAAATGAATGTATAAATATAAAAGAAAAGAAATAACAGCAATATTTAAAGCAGCATACATATCCTGAAACTTAACTAGTTATTACACCACAGAAAAAAAAATCTTCTGATTTGACATTAAATGAAAGTGTTTAGATATACAAGAAAATTGTTTAATAAAAAATGATAGGCTTTTTTGTCCCTGCTGAACAGTTTGTGAAATTTTTGGACAGTATGGCTTCTCTGCTCTCTTGGCAGGTCTCCTTACAGAAGCCGCTTAAAAAAAAAAAAAAAAAAGGCAGATAACATTCAGCCTCATTTCCCCACCCCTTCAAGTGCCAAGGGAAAGCCATTTGGGTCAATAGGGTTTGCAGGATGCTGGAAAGGGGTCATACTCATCTGTCAAGCATTTCCAAAACAGAAATTAACCACCTCCCGCCCGCCATGTAGTAATATGACGGACGCAAGGTGGTTCTCTCGTTCTGGGAGGACGTCATATGATGTCCTCCCATTCTCACCGCGCATGCGCAGCTCAGAGAGCGCGCGGTGATGGGGGGTGCACTGTGTCCCTCGGACACAGGGGATCACCGATCACGGAAAGAACCGAGGATGTCGGCTCGGTCATGTGATCAGCTGTGTCCAATCACAGCTGATCACATGTAAACAGGGAAATGCTGTTTATCGGCATTTCTCTCCTCACGAGCTGTCACGCTGACAGCTTGTGAGGAGAGGAGAGCCAGTAATTGGCTTTCCGCGGAGGGGACATGTTCACTGATCATCAGGGCACTGTGTCAGTGTACCCTGATGATCAGTGGAGCCCCAGCAGCGCCACCTGTCAGTGTCCATCAGTGCCTTGTGTCAGTGCTCAACAGTGCCTCGTGCCAGTGCCCATCAGTGCCACATCAATGCCACATATCAGTACCTACCAGTGCACATAAATGCCACATATCAGTGCCCATCTGAGCTGCCTTTCAGTGTCACCCATCAGTGCCAGTCAGTGCCGCCTAACAGTGCTGCCTATCAGTGACATGTATCAGTGCTGCCTTTCAGTGCCAATCAATGATGCCTGTCAATGCCCATCAGTGCATCCTATCAGTGCCCATCACTGCAGCCTCATTAGCGCACATCAGTGAAGGAGAAAAATCACTTATTTACAAAATTTTATAACAAAAACTAAGAAAAAAACTTTTTTTTTTCAAAATTTTCAGTGGTTTTTGGTTTGTTTAAGAAAAAAAAAAAAACCAGAGGTGATTAAATACCATCAAAATAAAGCTCTGTCACAAAAAAATGATACAAATTTCATATGGGTACAATGTTGCATGCCCGCACAATTGTCAAAGTGCGACAGCGCTGAAAGCTAGAAATTGGCCTGGGCAGGAAGGGGGTATAAGTGCCCTGTAGGCTATCGGTTAAAGCACAGTGTGGTTAAGTCCTTCTGGATGCAGTATTGAGAAAGTTATTGCAATACTGTGGTATGATACATACAGAAGAGAGCTTTTTATGCTCTCTTGTCTCATTTTTCATGCAAAAGGGTCCTTGTACATGAAGAGGCACACCCTGAGCATGGAAAGGCTTCTAATCACCACCACTAATATTATAGTCATCAGATTTATCTGAAATGGGCAGTGACCCCATATTTTATACTGCAGACAAAGAGGGTGAGGTACAGTTACCCTGGGATCCACCTAGTTTCGCTGGCAAATGTATGGCTTTATAAATTACCTAACCCTGTTAAAAGTAAATACACAAAACCATGAGTGGAAAGTCTGCATGGTTTTAAAGAAGTCTTGCATTATCACTACTGTGATGACTTACCGGTTCATACATGAAGTCTGGGTCTGAGCTACTTGCTAGGAGGTCTGTGCTCATTAATGTCTGCTCAGCAAAAGCTGGGCTGCGAAAAGCATCTCCAAATGGAGGGTCCATTCCGCTGACATTTGGCTGTGTGAAAAGTCCAAAAAGTAAATTAAGTAAACAACATAAACAAGTGGTGTCTCATATATTGTATAAAAGGTTATATGAAATAAATTGCCCAGTTGTTAGTTATAAAACCAACATCATTCAGCACTCATGCACCTCCAGAAACAGGTCAGCAGTTCATACATCTAACCCAAAAACTTTCCATTAATGAGGACTTTCCTGCTGAATTGGTCATAATTTAAGCCAAAAACAGGCCAGTGGGCAACCCAATACCCCCGCCCCAATCCTGGTTGACAAAAGTCTATTTTTCAATTGACGTTTGTTGAACAAACCAGTCTGAAAATTTCTCAGCAAAAACAGCATTTGTAACCAATCAGATGTATGAACTATGCAGGTATTCAGCAGTTGCTGGAGTATTGGCTGCTAAATACAGTAGCCAGCAGCTGACATTCCTCTGCTACTATCTATGCTGCTTAATGTGGATGGGAAAAAAAAAAAAAAAAAGCAATGGAATTCTTTTATTCAATGTATTGCCAGCTTATGTGCAGCTCATTTAAATTGTTACCGTGACCATTTAAAAAGGTACTATATGGGTAGGAATTTTGTGTACCCAAAGTGGCCATTTTTGGTTTGGAGTTATTTTTAGTGCAGATCACTTTTTACATTAAAACTTAATATGCAGAGTTATTTTAAAGCAAAACAAAGCATTCATAACCCCTAAAGTAAAAAAATAGTGGCTCTGAATAAACATTCTTTAGAAATTTCAAACAGCGACTTCCCTTCATGGAGACAACACCTCTATTGTGCAGTAGTAAATAACTTCCTCAATGTTATGACGTAAAAAAATTCAACCACAAATATAAAAGAATATCCAATAAAATTTGCTGTTTCAAGGTAGTGACACATCAAAGCAGAGTTTCTAATGCTTCAGTTCAGTTACAGTAGGCCAGGGTTTTAAAGTCCTCGGGAATTCAAAATCAGTCTCCAGTCTTCTTCATAGAAGAGGAGAGGCCCTGGAAAAAAATGTCTGAAATATACTGCAGTGTAAAAAGAGTTTCACTGTGCACCATTAAATGACTCACACGCTGGAAAAATACACATGCTTATGCAGGCCATAGATTTTCGGTCAAAAATCAGCCGAATTTTTTTGATCGGCCGAAAATTGGAAAAAGGTCGGCCGATTTTTTACGGATGGTTAGTGACCTGCAAGGTTAATAGGTCGGAAGTTTTTCGGTATTTTGGAAGGTAGATTTTTTTGATCGGAAGAAGAAGAAGGAAAAAGGTCGGCCGATCTTTTTACCGATAAAAAGAAGAAGAAGGAGAGGAGGCATGAGCAGTGACCTGCAGGAGAGGAAGACAAAAAGAAGAAAGAGGAGGAAGAAGAAGAAGAAGAAGAAGAAGGAGAAGAAGAAGAAGAAGGAGAGGAGGAGGAAGAAGAAGAAGAAGAAGGAGAGGAGGAAGAAGAAGAAGAAGAAGAAGGAGAGGAGGAAGAAGAAGAGAAGAAGGAAGGAGGAAGAAGGAGAGGGAGAAGAAGAAGAAGAAGAAGAAGAGAAGAAGAAGAGAAAGAAGAAGAAGAAGAAGAAGAAGGAAGAGAAGATGAAGAAGAAGGAGAAGAAGAAGGAGAGGAAGAAGAAGAAGAAGAAGGAAGAAGAAGAAGGAGAGGAAGAAGAAGAAAGAAGAAGAAGAAGAAGAAGAAGAAAAGAAGAAGAAAGAAGAAGAAGAAGAAGAAGAAAGAAGAAGAAGAAGAAAGAGAAGAAGAAGAAGACGAAGAAGAAGAAGAAGAGGATGAAGAAGAAGAAGAGGATGAAGAAGAAGAAGAAGAGGATGAAGAAGAGGATGAAGAAGAAGAATAGGATGATGATGAAGAAGAATTTCAGTCCGGCAAAAAGTGTCCCTGCAGAGAGCTCTATTTCTTTGACAGTTCCTTGACATTTATAGCGGCTGCAACAAGTATCTGTTTCTGAATAAAAACATCTGTATCCGAAATGGATACAAATAGATACAATGTTGCAGCCGCTATAAATGTCAAAGAAATAGCGGAGCTCTCTGCAGGGACACTTTTTGCCGGCTGTAGACGGGATGAAAAATCGGCCAATTTTTTTTACCCTTGTGGTAACGTCGGTCGATTGAACGACTGATTTTTCATTTTTTTTTTAAAGAAAAATCAGCCACTTTTCTCCCCATCTATGGCCTGCATTAGGTCTTGTTCACAACATGGGGTTGATTTACTAAAACTGAAGAGTGCAAAATTGGGTGCACCTGTGCATAGTAGCCAATCAGCTTCTAACTTCAGAACTAAATAAATACCAGGTTTAGATTAGTGAAAGCACTTTCCTACATTATATAAATACCTGGTGACCATGCCAGTCCACAGGAATCCCTTCCACAAGGTGACTGTCACTTGTGCAGCTGTGTTCTTGCTTATACTAAGATATAGGCACATGACTGGTATCAAACAAGGTGCCATGCATCATGAGGAAGTGCTGCCGGATATTTGGCAGATTGAAGACTTTTGCAGCCCCTATGATGACATTATTGCAGAAGAAAAGAATAGCATGCACTGTGCTGTGAGAGAGATGTTATGTGTCTCCTTTAGTTTATTACCCATTGGCCAGTGCAGTGACAAGGCCACTGGTGACACCACACAGAACTAGAGAAAGTCATCTATACATACGTTTAAAACTTAAAGTGGTTGTAAACCTCAGACATGAAAAATGAACAAAACATATTCCTCTATGGTGTGTACTTGTCTCAATCCGGGGAATTAAGTGGCATTGCTGTCTGCTGCCTCTTTCCTCAGCTATCAGCATTAATCACTTCTGACAAGTTTTATTGACACCAAGAGAAAAAGAAAAATGGTGAAAAGGAGAGACCTCCAGCAGATTGACAGCCTCAGCTCTGTTCCTGTGTTACACATAGTGTAACTTCAGCTCCTGCCCCCTGCTTTTCAGAATGGAGAGATCCTGTGTAAATTCTGCACTTTGAGAATGTAGGGGAAAGATGGCTCCAGATAGATCTGTACAACTTATGTAGGATGATCAGTTTCATCTCTGTATATCATCTGCGGCCAGTCAATTCACCGGTGTTTACAACCACTTTAACTACACTTTAAAATGAAGTGAAACTCACCTGAGGCATCTCAAAGCCCAGTTCTTCCAAACTCACTTCTAATTGTGTATTACCCAGGGGCCTTCTTTCTGACTTTTCCTTCTTATCAGCAGCAAAAAAATTATTCATACAAAGAAGAGTAATGGTTTTCCAAGTAGAAGATCAGGGAATCACAGGCACACAATTCAGAGCCTATTTCACATAAAAGAGATATAAAGACTGTTATAAGACAATTGTTACAGTGCATCTAAAAACACCAATATGCACAAAAAGCACCTTTGTACATTTTCTAACTGAAGCAAATATGAATATGTTTATTATTTGAAGTTAGGACCCCTAATACGCAAAATTAGAGGATCCCCTAAATACATTTTTATGGTCATTGACCATTCTTTAAGAAGGAGAGGAGACCACAACGTGACCGCACCCTCCTCCACCACTGCCAGCTTAAGCATGCTATGGTATGTGCACAGAACCCCCCCCCCCCCCTTTTTGTTGTTTTTTTTAAACTCTTATGTGTTTTAATGCAACCAACTTGTAGTACAAGTTAACCATATTAGATGGTCCAGGACCAAGGAGGATAACTTATGCAAGAGTGATAACTTATTTAAAAAACTGGCCCAAAGGAACAGCAAATAAAGCTCAAACACGACTTAGAACACACAATTATGCATGTAATTTAAGTGTCAAAAGATATACAAGCTACAGGGCTTGTGTCACTGGGCTTTTTGCAGACTGTACCGCAGCCAACACTGTTTACCACCCTCTGCCCGTTCTGTGTGATATTGGTCAACATCATATGGATGATGACCATCCTGACCTTTCTCATCTAGTAAGCCCACCTAAAAGACTATCAGCTTACAACAGAGAGGTAGATTAATGCAGGCCATAGATGGGTCGAAAATCGGCTGATTTTTCTTTTAAAAAAAAATGAACAATCGGTCGTTCAAGTGGCCGACGTTACCATCAATGGTAAAAAAAAAAAAAAAAAAAAAAAAAAAAAAAAAAAAATCGGCCGATTTTCATCCCGTCTACAGCCGGCAAAGTGTCCCTGCAGAGAGCTCCGCTATTTCTGACAGTTCTCTGACAGTTCTTTGACATTTACAGCGGTTGCAACATTGTATCTATTTGTTTCCATTTAGGATACAGATGTTTTTATTCGGAAACAAATAGATACAATGTTGCAACCGCTGTAAATGTCAAAGAACTGTCAGAAAACTGTCAGAAATAGCGGAGCTCTCTGCAGAGACACTTTTTGCTGGACTGGAATTCCTCTTATTTTCATCCTTCTTCTTCTTCATTCATCCTCATCCTCTCTTCTTCTTCATCCTTCTCTTCCTCTTCTTCTTCATCCTCATCCTCTTCGTCTTCATCCTCATCCTCCTCTTCTTCTCTTCATCCTCATCCTCCTCTTCTTCATCATCTCTCATCATTTCTTCTTCATCTTCATCCTCATCTCTCTTCTTCTTCCCTTCCTCTTCTTCTTCCTTCTTCATCCTCATCCTCTTCTTCTTCATTCATCCTCTCCATCCTCATCTTCTTCATCCTCATCCTCTTCTTCTTCTTCTTCATCCTCATCCTCTTCTTCATCATCATCGTCATCCTCCTCATCTTCTTCTTTTTTCTTCTTTTTCCTCTTCTTCTTCAGGTCACTGCTCATGCGCTTTTTTATCCTAAAAAATTCGGCCGATTTGCCCACTATTGCCGCGAAAATTCATCCATCTTTTTTTCCAACTTTACCAAAAAAAAAAAAACGGCCAAAATCCCTTCTTCGGCCTTCTTTTAGTCTTCCTCTAACAGATCCGAAAATCGGCCAGATTTTATTTTCGGCCAAAAATTGGACCCATCTATGGCCTGCATAACTAAAAATGGTTCACTCAGAATCTGGTGCAGCTGTGCATGGTAATCAATCAGCTTTTAACCTCAGCTTGTTCAATTAAGCTTTGGCAAAATAAAAACTGGAGGCTCTTTCTGTAAGGCTGGCCATACATTATACAAAATCTGCAGATTTTTGGTTTAGATTTACCAAAAAATAATAGGCCGACAAACCCAAACAACTACTTTAACTAGTTGTATCCAATTAGGCAGGCCCTTGCAGCTACATAGTTGAAGGTAGCTTTAAAGGAAATTGGGCAGAAAATCTGCAGATAATTGTATAATGTATGGCCAGGCTCTTAGTAAGTCTGACTTCACCTTTCAGCTGGTATATGGTACCTTCAGCTTGATCAATTTTCCCACATGGCATTTTTACAAATAGACTTTGGATAAATTATTCAGCATCCTGGATAGTTTTTGGCATCAGTGCTATACTTCACTGCCACTTAAAATTTTATAAAACCAAGACTGAAGCGCCACACTTAATCCTCAAGATATAAATTTATCGGAGACCTTATCATGAAACCAACATGTTTCAAGTGTAATAAAACACCCTTTTAATCAGGGATTGACTAAGATAGTAAATACAGGACTGGATGTAAAGTACATGGTGGTTAAACCAGGCAGATTTTAACCACTTGCCCTCCTGAGGATTTACCCCCGGCCTCTTTTTGCTACTCGGCGCTGCACTAGTTCAACTGATAATTGCGCGGTCATGCAATGCTGCACCCAAACGAAAATTACGCCCTTTTTTTCACACAAATATAGCTTTCTTTTGGTGGTATTTGATCACCTGTGCGCTTTTTATTTTTCACGCTATAAACAAAAAAAGACCAAAAATTTTGAAGAAAAATGATATTTTTTACTTTCAGCTATAAAAAAAAAATAGTAAACTCAAAGTTAGTTATAAATTTAGGCCAAAATGTATTCTGCTACATGTTTTTGGTAAAAAAAAAATCCCAATAAGTGTATATTGATTGCTTTGTGTAAAAGTTATAGCGTCTACAAACTATGGTATTAGATACTGCAATTTACGCCATTTTTTTGCTATACAGCGCTGCGCTAGTTTAACGGACAATTGCGCGGTCATGCAATACGGTACATAAATGAAATTTACATCCTTTTTTTCCCACAAATTGAGCTTTCTTTCGGTGGTATTTGATCGCCTGTGCAATTTTTATTTTTTGCGCTATAAAAAAAAAAGCCTGACAATTTTGAGGAAAAAAAACAATATTTTTGACTTTTTGCTATAAAAACATGTCCAGTAAAAAAAAATTTAAAAATCAAATTTAGTCATAAATTTCTGCCAAAATGCATTCTGCGACATGTCTTTGCTAAAAAAAAACCCAATACGTGTAAATTAATTGGTTTACGTGAAAGTTATAGCGTTTACAAATGACGGGAAAGATACTGGGATTTTTAATTTTTTTATACTAATAATGGCAGCAATCAGCGACTTATGGCGGCGATCAGGGACTTATAGCGGGACTGCGGCGGACATTCTGACACTGGGGGGGAACTGACTTGGGGTCACTGACATCCCCAGTGACACCAATACAGTGATCAGTGCAAAAAAAAAAAAAAACACTGACACTGTACTAATGGCACTGGGGAGGAAGGGGTTAACTTTAATATTCAGTGAAAGGGTTAACTGTGTGAGGGGAGTGTTTTACTAGGGTGCGGGGGTGTGTACTGCAGGGGGGACACGCTGATCGGGAGAGATAAACTCTTCTCTCCCGATCAGCCTGTCAGGAGCTGTCAGGGAACTGACAAAAAGCAGAGCTACTGCAGCCCTGCTCTCTGTCAGTGATTGCCACTAATCGCCGGGACACAGCTGGTAACGATCGGCTTTGACCCGGCGACTGACATCCGCAGCCGTGATCGGCGGCACAGGTAGGGCGGTGGTGCGCCTCGCACGCGCCCCCTACCTGTTTTGAAAACACACGTTTTAAAACGTTGTTTTGCCCAACCGTGCTGTCCTGCCATTGTATTTCTACAGTGGCTGGGCAGCATGTGGTTAAGGGCTTGTTCGCATCATACGCACAAAAAAAGTGATGGAAACTGTCATGCAGATTTCACTTGCAGAGCCATCAGTTTACATCAGTTTTCATGCACGCTGCAATTAGTTTTTCTATACCTTGCCGATTCCTGTGCAGAAAAAAATCTGCACGTGAGACTAGTGTTGTGGTATGAACAGGGCACATAGAGAACAATTCATTTTGTTGTGCCCTTGCAGACTGCATACAGAAAAACGGACATCTGTGCACCATAATGTGAACGAGCCCTTAGGGCACAGTCTGCAGCTACTCAAACCAGCTGCTGACAGACTATGCAATAATGTGTGCCCTGTTTAACCACCATGTATTTTACATCCTATCCAGTATTTATCTTACTTCAAGCCCTGATGAAGGGGATTTTTTCTGACCTCCAAAACACTTTCTTCTGGTGATAAAGTCTTTCTACGTAGACAAATGGCCCTTCAACGCTTCAGTCTTAAGCCGGCCATAGACGGTTCAAATCTCAGCTGGTTTAGAAGGAACCGGCAGAGATTCGAATCGTGTATGGGCAGGCTGAATGTACCAGAGTTGATCAAAGGACCAACATGGGTACAAGTCAGCCTGTCGGGTTTACATGCATTTACTGCCAGTGGCTATTATAGCTGCTAGCTGTAATCACTGTGTTCTCCAGGTGAGGACAGCTCCCCTGCTGGGAGAACACAATGACTCTTCAGGAGTGATTCCCTCATCAACACCGACTGTGTTGATGGGGGAACTGACAGATTTTCTTTCCTGCATTGCTCTATGGCTGGCTTTAGATTTACCTGATTACAAACCAAGGAATCAGTGGAAATGCCTTGGCATGGAGAAGCAGATTCCAGATACCTCATCCAATCACTACTAGAAATCCTTGTGTAACAATAATCCTAGGGTTCCAGTGCTATTCTTTCATTTCCCCATGATTTATTACTTTATGTTCTATATCATAAAATTCTGAGCCAGAAAACAGCAACAAGCATTCCTGTTCAACCACTTTCTGAACAAATAGCGACTGCCCTTGTTCAATAGTCATCTCTTGCCCATGCAAAAGGGTAGTGATGGGTATGGCCTCTTTCTTTGCACAATCTGCAATCCAAGAATTTTTTTTTTTTTTTGCAAACAAAGTTTTTGCCAGCAGGATCAAAGCCGCACACAAAGTGCACCTTTGACGTCTTAGTTGGTAAGAGTCACAACTTTAGACGTGGAAAGATACTCAGTTCACCAAACCGGACAAGGACCCTATGTTTATGTTTGCTCAGTGCTGAAAGTTCACTCACGGTTATCTAGTAATTACCTACGTAGTTCAAGAAATATATGCAAGAGATTAAAGCAGACACATCTCTGGCCTCAGAATGAGTATATCAAAACAAATGAGTTTTCAAAGGAAGAAGCTGTTTTTTTTCTCTGCTGAAGAAAACCAATTAACTGAGCACTTCAGGGAAGCAAGTTCCATCCGTATGATCAGCCGGAGTGGAAGCTGGACATTACTGCTCAGCAGGGAGCAGAGGTAAAACAGTTTCAACACATACAGCACCAACATCTTTGTCTAGTAACATTTTTCTAAATTTTTTTGTACAGAAAAAAAGTGCCATCATTTTATTCAGCTAAACAGTAACAATGCCATTTTTAAACAGCGTTATACTTGGCACGTGACCAAGTATTTATATATCAGACCAACCAAGGCTTGCTGGTAGGTAATTGGTGCCAACAGCCATATGTATGCATGTGAGATAGGAACCATAGATTGTAAGCTCTTTGAGGGCAAGCACTGATGTCAATGTATAATATGTACAGTGAAGGAAATAAGCATTTTATCCCCTGCTGATTTTTAATGTTTGCCCACTCACAAAGAAATGATCAGTCTAAAAATCAAATGGTAGGTGTATTGTAACACAGACATTGTAACACTTGGACAGTGGGAGGCTGCGATTTCTGGGAGGATGTTATATGACACCCTCCCAAAACTGGACAACTGCGCTGTAGCTGTCATTCGTCTATAGCCCGGTTGTCAAGTGGTTAAGGTGTCCTTAATGTGTATGTAACCTTATTTTCTCCCTTTTGGTCTGTTCAATATACCACTGAAAAGCCTTTTGTTTTATCTGTTCCATAAGTGAAAAAAATACCTGTCGATCCTGCCCAAAATCCAGCACTGTACTATACACTCTACAGTATCATCTCAAGTACTGTGTAGCAGTGCAAGGCCCCACCACAGTGAAAAAGTAGGAGAAGGTGACACAGAGTTTTTGCATATATGCAGAGTGCGGGGTTCCAGAATGCCAGTTCTGCAGTTTTCTTCTGCCTCTAAACGCTGAGCTTAAAATATGCCTCTAAACAACCTAATGTGCATGGACACACAGGATAACATTAGTTGCTTCTACAGGCAAAACACTAAAACTTGGAGCGGTATTTTTTTAGCCAGTGTGCATGGACCCTTAGGCCCCTGCACACTGAAGGACAGGCTGAGAAACTGACAGGCA